TCTTGGAAACTCTGCTCACAGGCCTCTGTCCACTGAAACTTAGTTGCTTTCTGCGTCAGCTTTGTTAATGGTGCTGAAAGAGAAGAAAACCCCTCTACAAACCTCCTATAATATCCTGCTAAGCCTAGAAAGCTACGAATCTCTGTCGAAGTGGTAGGTCTAGGCCAGGATTTCACAGCCTCAATCTTCTGAGTGTCTACCTTTCTACCTCCGTCGGATATAATGTGCCCCAAGAATGCTACAGATTTTAACCAGAATTCACACTTAGAAAACTTAGCATACAATTTATTATCACGGAGGGTTTGGAGTACTGCTCGTAGGTGATCCATATGCTCATCCTTTGAACGTGAATAAACCAGAATATCATGAATAAAGACTATCACGAACAGATCCAAATATGGTCGGAATAGGCTATTCATCAAGTCCATAAATATGGCAGGTGCATTCGTCAACCCGAAGGACATAACAAGAAACTCAAAGTGGCCATATAGGTTCCTAAAGGCGGTCTTGGGAATATTTTTCTCCCGAACTTTGACCTGGTGGTACCCCGACATCAAATCTATCTTTGAAAAGCATCTAGCTCCCTGCAACTGATCAAACAAGTCATCTATCCTTGGAAGGGGTACTTATTCTTAATAGTTACCTTGTTCAGTTGCCTATAGTTGATACACATCCTTAGGGATCCGTCTTTTTTCGTACAAACAATACCGATGCACCCCAAGGTGAGGTACTGGGTCTGATAAACCTTTCTCTAGTAAATCTTTTAATTACTCCTTCAACTCCTTCAATTCGGCAGGTGCCATTCTATACGGAGGGATGGATATTGGTTGTGTTCCCGGAAGCAAATCGATGCCAAAATCAATCTCTCGCTCTAGAGGAATACCTGGAAGCTCATCTGGAAATATATCCATGTACTCCTTTACTACTGGAATAGACTGAAGTGTCGGTTTCTCAACATTTGCATCTTTAACTCGCACAATATGATAAATGCACCCTTTTGCGATCATTTTCCTTACCTTTAGATAGGAAATAAACCTTCCTCTGGGTGTCGCTGTATTACCTACCCATTCTAGGACTGGCTTACCCGGAAAATGAAATCTAGCTGTCTTTGCTCGACAATCAACTGTGGCATAACAAGCTGCCAACCAGTCCATGCCCATGATAGCATCGAAATCCAACATCTCTAGTTCAACTAGGTCGGCTGAGGTTTGACGACCACAAATTGTTATCGTACAACCTCGATAAACGCGTCTAGTGATAATTGATTCTCCAATCAGTGCAGATACCGCAAAAGGATCACTTAGTATTTCAGGCACTATGCCACATTTCCATGCGACAAATAGGGTAACATATGATAAAGTAGATCTTGGGTCTATCAAGGCATAAACATTGTGAGAATAAATGGTCAACATACCTATCACAATGTCTGGTGAGGACTTTTGGTCCTGTCGACCTACTAACACATAGATACAATTCTGGTTACTACCTGAACTGGACCCTCTACCTCTACCTCGACCTCTACCAGCCGAAGACTGAGACTCGTCCCGTGAAGGATTCACGGACATAGCTGATCCTGTTACTGAATTCGCTGGTTGCGCCATACCCCCAGAATCTTTATTTGGGCAATCTCGCATAATATGTCGTGGACATCCACATGTATAACAAGTATCAGAATCGGCTCGGCATTGGCCCAAATGTCCTTGATCGTAAATGGCACATCGCGGCTGAAATGACCTTGTCTATCTCAAACCTCATTGTTGCTGCAAACTTGACGCCTGGGAGCTCTCACCTGGTCCTGACTGATTATAGCAGTCATACTTGTAACCCTGTAGCTGAGGTGGCGGAGGTCTAGGTGGCCATTTGAAGTACTAGGGCATGCAGCTCCCCTGAGACCGCTCTTGAGACCTGGCAAATCTTGTCCTCTTATGTTGCCCTGACACAGTCCTCTTCATACTCTGCTGTTGACACCTACCGCTCTCTATATTCTGCGCAAATGCCTGAATCCACGAGATATCCATACTATCCTGTAATACAGCGGTGGCACACACCTCGGTCAACTCTAGGGCCAACCCCGCTATAAACCTATGGATTCTATCTCGCATAGTAGCAACTATGGATGATGCATATCTTGCCAATGAGTCAAAACGGAGACTATATTCTCTAACACTCATATTGCCCTACTTGAGGGCTAAACTGATCGAGTCGGGCCTGTCAGATTTCTCGTGGTAAGTACTAGTCAAGGAATGCATCTGAAAATTCTCCCAAATAGCAGGAGGTGCGTCACATCCCCTGGACCTTTCCCGCCCCTCATACCAAAGGATGGCTATATTTCGTAGTGGAAAAGCTGCTAACTCAACTGCCTCTTTCTTCGTGGCATGCATAACCCGAAAGATCCTATGAAGCTGATCTATAAAATCATGTGGGTCCTCCCTCTGATCTATCCCCGTGAACTCTGGGGGATTCAAAGCAATAAATTCTCGGACCCTTGAACTCCTAGATCCCTCAGAAGGTCCTGCACTAGCGGATGCCCTAGCCTGTTGCTGGGTAGCTACCAACTATGCCAACAAATGCACCGCACTCCTCAAGTACTGATCTGATGGAAGCAGAGGGGGAACTGGATGTGCGGTCTCCCTAGGAATCTCCTCAGGTGGCGGAGGAGCCGGTAATCGCTGGGTAGAGGTCTCTCCCTGCGACTCTGATTGGGCCCCATCTATTGGGGTACCCTGGTACTCCCCTCACCTACTACTGGTTCCCTCCTCTAACTAGTCGTAGTCTTCCTAGTTATCGCCATCTATGCATGCAAATGTCAACACGTAAGTTTAACTCAATTTTTCCATAAATCAGTGCTACAGCACGATTTAGATTTGAAAGAAGGGTAACCAACTCCTAGATGCCCTGTAGTCTTTTGCTTATATAATGTGGTGAACCACACATTTATAAACAAGATCCTACTAGACATGGCTTGTAGACTCCCTAGGACAGAACTGCTTTGATACCACTTTTGTCATGCCCCAACCTTAGGGGTGAGACCGGCACTCAGTGCCTCAACTATCCTTACGTATCACTTGTGACTCAGAGACTCTGAAAATGTAATGTCATATTTTTGACCATGGGCCACATTACAAGATAATGTGCGATGCAAAATATCAAACTAAATAGAGACTAATGCTGACTAACCGTCAACATAAAGTTGGGTCGGCAAGGCCGTCATAATTACTACAGCTGACAAGCCAACAAAATATACATACAGGGCCTATAATCCCAACATATTGTACTAACTGACATAATTTATCTACAAGCCTCTACTGATAGATGTACTACGATCAGAACAGAGGCCTGACCTCCCCATAACCTATCTACATATATACATAAGATATACACCACACTGCTAGACCCGGCAACTCCAAAAGAAGGGAGCTTACCGATAAAACTGAACTCGGGCAACACCTACTGAGGAGGTCTACACGTCTATCTATCTGAACCTGTATGCATGAAATGCAGCACCCCCAGAAAGGGACGTCAGTATGAAATAATGTACCGAGTATGTAAGGCAATATACTGAAGCTGAAACTGAACTGATAATATAATAACTAAGAACAATTGGGAGTCAAAGAAAATCTGAAGATATGCTCATCTGCTAATACTGACTCAATTCTCTCAATATAGTGAGTAAAATAGTTGTCCGGACCTATAATGCTCGGTATACATATATATCTGCTCTGCCGTAGTAGACTCGCTCATATGTGCTCGGCCATACTAGGCTATTTATCGACCAACTGGGCTCACTCATATACGCTCGGCCACAGTAGGATCGTCATATAACTTACCATCTGATCAGAGGTTGCCCAATAGGGGCCTACCATCGATTATAGCTCGATGGTAATGACATACTTTTAATAATATATATATATATATATATATATATATATATATATAAACTTCTCTGCTCTCTTGACTGGAAGAAGGAAATACTCAACTGAATATGAAGTCCCGATAAGGAGAACATTATAACTTACAACACTAGAAAAATATACGCAATTTGCGAGACTAGCAAAATATACGTAAATTCTGGGATATGAATGTATTGACGAGATCATGCCAAATGAAAGAAAAGCTTAGCCTTAACATACTTTTTCTTGAATTATTTGAACGAATCTACTGTTGCGAAATTTACACCTGAATTCTTTGACATTAGAACGAAACCGTGTTTGCCTTTAACGTTTTCTGATTTCAAAGTTCTTGCTTCTGAACGTTACTATGTTGCTACTCTTTGGCAAAATATAAGATTTGTTGCTTCAAGAAAACGTTACTGTGTTGCTACTCTTTGGCTAAATAGAAGATTTGTTGTTTCAAGCTTCTTAATTCTTATGAATGAAAATGACTTTCTTTAATGCTTGCTTGTCTGATCAAAAGACAAGATAATTTTTTTGCATTTTTTAAACAAACCATTAAGATAAGACTTACATGTCTCACAACTAAGTCTTATTTGGATAAGGCTTTAGCCACATGGCTTTAATGACCTATGAGTCATTGTTTAACCATTGTGGCTTTATGCCATGTGGCTTTGGGTTATTTAATTAAATTTTGTCCGCTTATTAGTCAATTGGATAATGTCCTGTTACCCGGTAATTAATCAATTACCCGCATAATTTAAAAATTATCACAAATTACATAAAATTCTATTTATTTTTAAAATACTTCATATATACTTTATACATTATACTATCGTGGTCATATGATACCTCGCATGGTACTAGCTTATAATTATCGGGTATTATCGCTTGACATAAATAACGTAAGTACATTAACATCAAGATGATCTCATCCCCGAGTCTACGTCGGTTAACTGAAAATGAAATTTTAATGTATGAAAACGCGAGACGTAACACTTTCATTTACCCTAAGTCCCTAACCCTATTATTTCCTCTACCCATTCTTCAGCACCGCTTTTCTCGTATTTAATTAGAAAAGGAGGTGCTAGTATAGTCTACAAAGGGGTAATGCCGAGTGGAGAACATGTTACCGTTAAAAGGTTGTTGGCTATGAGCAGGGGTTCCTCTCATGATCATGGGTTCAATGCAGAGATACAGTCTCTTGGGAGGATCAGACACATGCATATTGTTAGGTGACTAGGATTTTGCTCGAATCATGGGACAAATCTATTGGTCTATGAGTACATGCCTAATGGGAGCCTTAGGGAAATGCTTCATGGCAAGAAAGGTAGTCATTTACATTGGGATACCAGGTATAAGATAGCAGTGGAGGCTGCGAAGGGTTTTTGCTATCTCTATCATGATTGCTCTCCTTTGATCCTCCATCGTGATGTGAAATCAAGCAATATTCTGCTGGGCTCTAACTTTGAAGCACATGTTGCTGATTTTGGACTTGCTAAGTTCTTGCAAGATTCAGGGACATCAGAATGCATGTCTTCCATTGTTGATTCTTATGGTTACATTGCTCCAGGTATTTTATATAAGCCTTCATATGATATCCCTTACTTTAGTTTCGTTGCATGTGCCTGTTGACACAATTTTTATGTTATAAACGGTGTTCATTTTATTTTAGCTTCTTTTTATCCATATTAGTTAGGCGTGTTTATAGCGATATACTTTTTGTGGAATCCCGCAAATTTTCTTATTGGTGTAATCGATAACCGAATCGATAAGCCCCAAAAATCGATAAATCAAAATTGAAAAAAATCGAAAGCTTATTGAAACGATAACGATAAGCATATGTACAAATCGATAATTGATAAGTAATTATCGATAAGGGTCAAAATCGAATCGATAAATCGAATGCACACCCTTACTCCCGGTTGCGGGAATAGATCAAAATATCATCAATGAAGACTATCACGAATGAATCCAAGTAAGGCTTGAACACTTGGTTCATCAAATCCATAAAAGTTGATGGGGCATTGGTCAACCCAAATGACATCACCAAGAACTCATAATGCCCGTACCGAGTGCGGAAAGCTATCTTAGGGACATCGGATGCCCTAATCCTCAACTGATAGTAGCTAGATCCAAGTCAATCTTCGAAAATACCTTGGCACCCTGAAGCTGATCAAACAAATCATCAATCCTCGGCAATGGATACTTGTTCTTGATTGTAACCTTGTTCAACTGTCGGTAATCTATACACATCCTCATCGATCTGTCTTTCTTCTTAACAAACAATATCGGTGCATCCCAAGGCGAGACACTAGGTCTAATGAAATCTTTATCAAGCAAGTCTTGCAACTGCTCCTTCAATTCTTTCAACTCAGGCGGTGCTATACGATACGACAAAATAGAAATGGGCTGGGTGCTCGGAGCCAAATCAATGCAGAAGTCAATGTCCCTGTCGAGTGGCATACCCGGCAGGTTTGAAGGAAATACCTCAGGAAACGCACGAACAATAGGCACAGAATCCATAGAAGGAACTTCGGCACTAGAATCACGAACATATGCCAAATAGGCCAAACACCCCTTCTTGTCCATTCATCGAGCCTTCATATATGAGATAACACTATGGGTAGAATGACCAAGAGTCCCTCTCCACTCTAAACGAGGTAAACCCGGCAAGGCTAAGGTCACAGTCTTGGCATGACAGTCCAAGATAGTGTGGTATGGTGATAACTAGTCCATCCCCAATATGACATCAAAATCAACCATATCCAAAAGTAATAGATCTACTCGGGTCTCAAGACCCCCAATCACAACTATATATGAACGATGAATACGATCTACCACAATAGAATCACCCACCTGTGTAGACACATATACATGAGCACTCAAAGAATCACTAGGCATAACCAGATACTGTACAAAATAAGATGACATATAGGACTATGTAGATCCCGGATCAAATAAAATTGAAGCATCTCTACTACAAACCAGAACAGTACCTATGATAACTACATCGGAAGCCTCAGCCTCAAGCTTGTCTAGAAGAGCATAACATCGGGGCTGAACCCCACCACTCTAAACTACATCTCTGGGACGGCCTCCTATTGGATGGCCTCTACCTCTAGTAGCCTGACCTCCACCTCTAATACCTCTACCTCTACCTCTAGCACCTCTACCTCCACATCTAGCTGGCTGGGCGGGCGGTGGAATACTCGGTGCCTGAACCATGGCACGGGAACCCTGATGCTGAGAGCTGCTCGGTGCTTTAGGGCAAAATCTAGCAATATACCCGTATCGCCACATGTATAACAAGCCCTCGACGGCTGAGACTATTGACCCTAAAGGCCTGAATAACCACTCTGAAAACTCTGGAGCGGAGGTGCATTGATAGGAGCTGGCAGTGCACTGTAGGGCAACTGATCAGAATACTATATAGAGAACCACGACCACCTGGAGCACTATGAGAAGCCTGAAGTGCTGAATGAAACGGCCTGGGAGGATGGCCCCTACCAAAATAATCTCTGCCTACAAACGAGGCACCACTGAACCTACCAGAATGACAAGGTCTCTTGTCAGACCCCTAACCACCCCCCTGCGATAGAACCATCTCAACTCTCCTGGCCATATTGGCCGCATCCTGAAAAGAAATCTCAATCCCCGTCTCCTTAGCCATATGCAATCTAATAGGTTGAACGAGTCCCTCAATGAACCTCCCCACTCTCTCTCTCTCTCTCTCTCTCTCTTAGTGGGAAGTATAATAAGAGCATGACAGGCCAAGTCTATAAATCTAGTCTTGTAGTGAGTAACAGTCATAGAACCCTACTGGAGACGCTCAAACTGCCTCTCGTAGTTCTCCCTCTGAGTGATAGGAAGAAACTTCTCCAAAAATAGCTGAGAAAACTGATCCCAAGTCAAAGCTAGTGACCCAACTGGTCTAGGCAAACAATAATCTCTCCACCAAGTCTTGACGGATCCAGACAAACGAAAAGCAACAAAGTTGACCCCATTGGTCTCCACTATCCCCATGTCCCTAAGAACCTCATGACAACTGTCTAAATAATCCTGGGGATCCTCAGAAGATGCACCGCTGAAAGTGGTAGTGAAGAGCTTGGCAAACCAGTCCAATCTCCACAAGGCATCATTAGACATAGTTGTTCCATGACCGGTCTGAGCTATCACACCCGGCTAAACTGCTCCAACTGACTGAGCTGTTGGAGTCTGAAACTGGGGAGCCAACTGCTTCGGAGTGCGGGTAGCAGGAGTCTGGGCTCCTCCTCCAGCCTGAGAGACGGCTGCTGCTACAGGAAGCAAACCTGCCCAGGTGACACTCTCCATAAGGCCCACTAGACGGACCAGAGCATCCTGGAGTACTGGGGTAGTAATGAACCCCTCTAGGACCTGAGCTGGACCCACCGGAACTGCTTGGGCCGGAACTTCATCATCAAACTCAACTTGAGACTCTGCCGCTGGTGCTACTACTCTGGGCGGAGCTTTGTCCCTGCCTCGACCTTGCCCTCTGCCCCTCGTGGGAGCTGGTGTTGGGGGATCGGGCTGCTGATCAGTAGATGAGGAAGTGTTGTTCTTGCCACCTGCAAAAGAACAGAATAGAAATTCAATTAGCATTGAGAAACCAAATCACACGACAGGAAAGAATAGATGTGAAGTTTTTCCTAACTTTGTAGCCTCTAGGGATAAATACAGGCATCTTTGTACCGATCCCCCAGACTCTACTAAGCTTGTCCGTGAATTGTGAGACCTAAGTAACCTAGAGCTCTGATACCAACTTGTTACGACCCGGATTTCACACCCTCGGAGGTCATGATGGCGTCTACTAATGAAACCTAGGTAAGCCAATTGTTCCAATTTCTTAACCTTTTCTTATATTTTAATCCAACAAACATCATAAAAATAGCAAAATTAAATAAGCGAAAGAAATAAAATGTAACAGTTTAATATTAATACCAATACAATTCCATAAACTAGAAAGCTACCCAGATCTGGTGTCACAATTTCACAGATGGTCTAAGAGTACTACAAATAAGGGTCCGAAAGGTAAATACAAGTTGTTTCAGAAATACATAGGAGAAACGGTATAGAAAGATAGAAGGAGACGCCAGGGCCTGCGGACTCCTGCAGGACTACCTCGGGTCGCCTGAATGGACTGAAGACAACACCCTCACTGCGATCCAAAAGCTGCAGCATCGGGGTCTGCACACAGTGCAGAGTGTAGTATCAGCACAACCGATCCCATATGCTGGTAAGTGCATAGCCTAACCTCGGCGAAGTAGTGATGAGGCTAGGATAGGACTACCAAATAAACCTGTGCAGTTAAATCATATACATCGAAAAAATAAAGGCAGAAATGTACAGTTAAGGATAGGAGGGGGAAACATGTTGCGGGGAACATCAAGTAATAACAGAAGAACATCATATAAATATAAGGAACACTAAAGTTCAATTATCGATAAGAATTAGAAATAAAAGACAAATGCACGGCATCACCCTTCGTGCTTTTACTCTTGTCCTCACCATAATATCAATAAAATCGGCAAAGCATCACCCTTCGTGCTTTTACCTCACATAATCATGACACGGAATGATACATCGTGCATTATCACTCATATCATGGCACGGAATGGTACATCGTGCGGCACGGCATCACCCTTCGTGCTTTTACCTCACAATATCAGCACGACATCACCCTTCATGCATTAACACTCTCAAAGAAAACATACACGACATCACCCTTCGTGCTTTACACTCCCTCACCCAATCAACAATCACAAAGCAATTTGGGCAAGGAAAATCAACAATATTTCAAATAAATCCCGGCAAGAGAGATAATATCAAAAGCAATAACATCCCGGTAAGGGAGACAAATATAAAACCTTTTCTCTTTACCACAATTTCTTCACAACTCATTTCTCAACTTGAGCCAATGCTCTGCAATGATCAATTACCAATAATACTTCCACAAGTATTGTTCAACAATAGAAATCATCATATAAAGCATGAATAATACGAAACAGAGTCACATTAGTCATAGTATAAAACTCACAGGCATGTTTGACACCAACGTATAGATACTCGTCACCATGCCTATGCGTCGTACTCAACAACTAACACGTAGCAAATAAGACACGACTCTTAATCCCTCAAGCTAAGGTTAGACCAAACACTTACCTCGATGTCACGAACACAATTCAAGCCTCAACTACCGCTTTACCTCTTGATTCCACCACTAATTCGCTCGTATCTAGCCACAAGTTACTTAATTATATCAATAAGTGCTAAATGAATCAATTCTAATGCATGAAAATAGGTTTTCTAAAGTTTTTCCCAAAAGTCAAAAATCGACCCCGGGCCCACATGGTCAAAACCCGAGGTTCAAACCAAAACTTGATTACCCATTCACCCACGAACCCAAATATATAATTTGTTTTGAAATCGGACCTCAAATCGAGGTCCAAATCATCAAAATTTGAAAAAACGTAAGTTCTACCCAAAACACCCAATTTCCCCCATGAAAACCCTTGATTTTGAGTTGAAATCATGTGAAAAGATGTTACCCAATAAACTAGAAAGCTACCCAGATCTGGTGTCACAATTTCACAGATGGTCTAAGAGTACTACAAATAAGGGTCCGAAAGGTAAATACAAGTTGTTTCAGAAATACATAGGAGAAACGGTATAGAAAGATAGAAGGAGACGCCAGGGCCTGCGGACGTCTGCAGGACTACCTCGGGTCGCCTGAATGGACTGAAGACAACACCCTCACTGCGATCCAAAAGCTGCAGCATCGGGGTCTGCACATAGTGCAGAGTGTAGTATCCGCACAACCGATCCCATGTGTTGGTAAGTGCCTAGCCTAACCTCGGCGAAGTAGTGATGTGGCTAGGACAGGACTACTAAATAAACATGTACAGTTAAATCATATACATCAAAAAAATAAAGGCAGAAATGTACAGTTAAGGATAGGAGGGGGAAACATGTTGCGGGGAACATCAAGTAATAACAGAAGAACATCAGATAAATATAAGGAACACTAAAGTTCAATTATCAATAAGAATTAGAAATAAAAAACAAATGCACGGCATCACCCTTCGTGCTTTTACTCTTGTCCTCACCATAAAATCAATAAGTGCTAAATGAATCAATTCTAATGCATGAAAATAGGTTTTCTAAAGTTTTTCCCAAGAGTCAAAAATCGACCCCGGGCCCACATGGTCAAAACCCGAGGTTCAAACCAAAACTTGATTACCCATTCACCCATTCACCCAAATATATAATTTGTTTTGAAATCGGACCTCAAATCGAGGTCCAAAACATCAAAATTTGAAAAAACCTAAGTTCTACCCAAAACACCCAATTTCCCCCATGAAAACCCTTGATTTTGAGTTGAAATCATGTGAAAAGATGTTACCCAATAAACTAGAAAGCTACCCAGATCTGGTGTCACAATTTCACAGATGGTCTAAGAGTACTACAAATAAGGGTCCGAAAGGTAAATACAAGTTGTTTCAGAAATACATAGGAGAAACGATATAGAAAGATAGAAGGAGACGCCAGGGCCTGCGGACTCCTGCAGGACTACCTCGGGTCGCCTGAATGGACTGAAGACAACACCCTCACTGCGATCCAAAAGCTGCAGCATCGGGGTCTGCACACACTGCAGAGTGTAGTATCAGCACAACCGATCCCATGTGCTGGTAAGTACCTAGCCTAACCTCGGCGAAGTAGTGATGAGGCTAGGACAGGACTACCAAATAAACCTGTGCAGTTAAATCATATACATCGAAAAAATAAAGGCAGAAATGTACAGTTAAGGATAGGAGGGGGAAACATGTTGCGGGGAACATCAAGTAATAACAGAAGAACATCAGATAAATATAAGGAACACTAAAGTTCAATTATCAATAAGAATTAGAAATAAAAGACAAATGCACGGCATCACCCTTCGTGCTTTTACTCTTGTCCTCACCATAAAATTAATAAAATCGGCAAAGCATCACCCTTCGTACTTTTACCTCACATAATCATGACACGGAATGATACATCGTGCATTATCACTCATATAATGGCACGGAATGGTACATCGTGCGGCACGACATCACCCTTCGTGCTTTTACCTCACAATATCGGCACGACATCACCCTTCATGCATTAACACTCTCAAAGAAAACATACACGACATCACCCTTCGTGCTTTACACTCCCTCACCCAATCAAGAATCACAAAACAATTTGGGCAAGGAAAATCAACAATATTTCAAATAAATCCCGGCAAGAGAGATAATATCAAAAGCAATAACATCCCGGTAAGGGAGACAAATATATAAACCTTTTCTCTTTACCACAATTTCTTCACAACTCATTTCTCAACTTGAGCCAATGCTCTGCAATGATCAATTACCAATAATACTTCTACAAGTATTGTTCAACAATAGAAATCATCATATAAAGCATGAATAATACGAAATAGAGTCACATTACTCATAGTATAAGACTCAAGGGCATGCTTGACACCAACGTATAGATACTCGTCACCATGCCTATGCGTCGTACTCAACGACTAACACGTAGCAAATAAGACACGACTCTTAATCCCTCAAGCTAAGGTTAGACCAAACACTTACCTCGATGTCACGAACACAATTCAAGCCTCAACTACCGCTTTACCTCTTGATTCCACCACTAATTCGCTCGTATCTAGCCATAAGTTACTTAATTATATCAATAAGTGCTAAATGAATCAATTCTAATGCATGAAAATAGATTTTCTAAAGTTTTTCCCAAAAGTCAAAAATCGACCCCGGGCCCACATGGTCAAAACCCGAGGTTCAAACCAAAACTCGATTACCCATTTACCCACGAACCCAAATATATAATTTGTTTTGAAATCGGACCTCAAATCGAGGTCCAAATCATCAAAATTTGAAAAAACCTAAGTTCTACTCAAAACACCCAATTTTCCCCATGAAAACCCTTGATTTTGAGTTGAAATCATGTGAAAAGATGTTAAAGATTAAAGAAAATGAGTTAGAAATGACTTACAGTCGATTTGGAAGAGTAGTTGTCTTTGAAAAATCGCCCAAAGGTGTTTAGGTTTTGAGAAGGTTTGAAAAATGGATGAAAATGCCTCCAAGTCTGAGTTAACTAGTCTCTGATGTCGCAATTGCGACGAGAGTTCGCAATTGCGAACCCCTTCAGGACCTGCTATCTTCGCATTTACGAAGAATAAGTTGCATTTGCGAAGAATAAGTTGCATTTGCGACTCTGGCCATTTTTTCGCATTTGCGATGAATTGGTTGCATTTGCGATCAAGGCCTACCTAGTCCATCTTTGCATTTGCGATAAAGCTTCGCATTTGTGAGCTAGACTTCACAATTGAAGCCTGCAGGCCTGCAACACACCAACAATTTCCTAAGTTAAAAACACTCTGTGGCCTATCCAAAACTCACCCGAGCCCTCGGGGCTCCAAACCAACACATGTACGCAAGTCCAAAAACATCATACGGACTTGCTCATGCGATAAATAACATCAATAACTATGAATTTAGCATCA